TGGGGAGGGAGTGTGGTGCTCTGAACTCAGCTCCTTGGGAGACTCTGTTTTTGCAGACAAGCCACGGTTAGAGGAATCTGGTTGCCCTGGCAAACAGACCTGGCTAGAAGGGATGGAATACATGCTTGCCTGCATCCCAAAGGGAAACCCAGCTCCAGCCTTGGTGTGTACCTGGAATGGGGTGGTCTTTGACTTTGAAGTGCCACAGAAGGCAACCCAGAACCACACAGGAACCTACTGCTGTACAGCCACTAACCAGCTGGGCTCTGTCAGCAAAGATATTGCTGTCATTGTTCAAGGTAACCTTGCTGCCCTACTGCCAGGCCCAGGATGGAACCCCCTCGGGGTTTGGGATTCTTATCCAAGCATGAAAATAAGAAAGATTCTACTAGGTTGGGAAGAGTGAGACTCAGAAGTGGGCTTGGTTGGGCTGGGGTGGGTGACCCTCACACCCTCAGACTGTCCTAACTCTGTCGTCTGTGCTTGGGCAGGACTGGATCAAGGAATCAGCTCTACCATCTTTGTCATTATTACCACTGCCCTTGGAGTGGGTATCATCACCATAGCACTGTATCTGACCTATCGGCCCTGCAAAATGGACAGGAGGAGATTGCTCTATAGGCAGAAAAAGGAGGACGAAGAGGAGGAAAGCCAGTTTGCTGTTCAGCAAGAGAAAAGTACAACTCATATAATTGACAACCATTTGGTTGAATGAGACTTATGCTACTGTGGTTTCTCAGGGAGGGAAGAAAGGAGAGGGGAGAAAGGAAGAAACAGAATGTTAGGCTGCATTACCCTTTGTGTTCTTCTGTCCCGTAAAACAGTGTTTGAAGCCCCTGGGTCCCATGTGTCCAATATGTCCACAAGCTCACGTTTCTCTCTCTCTCTTTTTTTTTTTTTTGAGATGGAGTCTTGCTCTTGTTGCTCAGGCTGGAGTGCAATGGCATGATCTCAGCTCACTGCAACCTCAGCCTCCTGGGTTCAAGCAATTCTCCTGCCTCAGCCTCCCCAGTAGGTGGGATTATAGGTGCCTGTCACCATGCCTGGCTAATTTTTGTATTTTTAGTAGAAACATGGTTTCACCATGTTGGCCAGGCTAGTCCCAAACTCCTGACCTCAAGTGATCTGCCCACCTCGGCCTCCCAAAGTGCTGGGATTATAGGTGTGAGCCACCATGCTCAGCCACCTTTCTCTTTTGAGCTCACTCTAGTCATTAGGAATCTCAGTCTCAATGTCTGATTTGTAAGAAAGCCTCTTGTTCCTTGCCAGGCACATCATCAGTCCACTCTTAGATCCAATAAAAAGATCCTGCCCTTTCTTCATGGTTCCCACTGTCCTTTTAAACATCATACTAAAGTCAGGTGCATCTTAGAAATTTTTCATGGTTTTCTGATTACTAACTAGGAACTAAATTTGTAGTCCAGGGACAGGACTTTGAAGGGAGAAGGTATCAAACATGGGGCTAGGAATCAGAACTCTATTCCCATCTCTACTTTCCCTTGCTCCCCTGACCTGGGCTTCCGGAATGCCAGCTCTCAGAGCTGAGCTTGTTTATATCATTAACAATCAGTGGGAAGCTTCAACTCAGTAACCATCTGTTGTGGGTCTTGGGGGAGTATACAGATGGTAAGAAATTCCACTTCAGGCCAGACACGCAGCTACCTATCCCAGTGTTCTGTCTCTGAAGTAGAAGGTAGAGTTCTTCCATGAAACTGGCCTCACAGGTTAAGAGCTTTAAACATCTCTGAATTTCTTTTCACAGAGTAATCAACTGTGAGTTCGCATTTGCCAATTCTTTTTTTTAACCCATATGGGCATCTAGGTTGGAGTTCCAATGTTTACTCTCCCTTTTCATAAATAAGTGCATATTTTCATCTGTCTGCAAACTATTTTCTTCAAGCTTCAAGAGGAATCCTCTTGTGAAAATGTTCATATGATTTTATGATTCAGCTTCCTTCTCTGTTCTTTGGAAAGAATATGTTCATCCTTGGAGAAGGCATGAGGAATCATAAAACCAGATCTTTTCTCCCAAATCAGTCAAGAAATGTTTGCTGAAATGTTGCTATGGTAAAAATAAAAGTGATTTTATTATATCCAAATGCATTTCCCTTCTGTGTCATTGCTGAAAACTTTTATTAAGTCAAATGGTTGCATTTTAGAACTTTAAATACAAGGAAAAACTACTGTGTTGATAGCACAAACAACCAGCCCAGGGCAGGTGGTACATTAGCTCGGGGCAGCAACCTATTTGACCTGCTTTCAAAACTAAAATTCAGGCCAGGGGTGGTAGCTCATGTCTGTAATCCCAGCACTTTGGGAGGCTGAGGCGGGTGGATCGCTTGAGCCCTGGAGTTTGAGAGCAGCCTGGGCAACATGGTGAAATCCCATTTCTACAAAAAATACAAAAATTAGCCAGGTATAGTGGCACATGCCTGTAGTCCCCGCTACTTGAGAGGCTGAGGGGGGATCCTCCCTTGAGCCCGGAAGGTGGGGGTTGCAGTGAGTTGAGATCATGCACCCCAGCCTGGGCAACAGAGCCAGAACCTCTCTCAAAAACAAAACAAAGGAAACAAAACCAAAAACAAAAGTCTAGACTTCCACATAGAGAGTGGTCCATAGCCTTCCAAGCTGCAGATACTAGCTAGAAAAAAAAGAAGCAACAGACACCAAAGGGAACAAATTTTCCTTTTCTTCCCAGACCTCCTCTGAGTCTGGTGTTATGGACTTGGTATAAAAATAACCCTTTGGTTTTACCACATACAAGACAGTGGGCATACAATGGTGAACAAAACATTGTCCCTAGCTTCCACAAATTTATAGGGAAAGCTAGACAAACAAGCAGGAGATGATGTTGAAGCATTAACTCTTATGACTGGGAAAAAAGCTTGTTAAGAGAAAGTGTAACTCGGATCAAGGAAGGCTTCCTGGAGGGACATGAAATATCTTGACTTTGCGAAATAGCATCCCCCAACATGACCTGTTCAACCTCCATGTTTCCACTAAGTGGAGCTACTGCTCTCTCATCATGTGAATGTAATATAAATCACTCACCTTCCCTGAATTGAGCATCGGGGGAAATAAGTTCGAAAGCAGGTTTAAGAGACAGGAGTATAGAGCCGCCCCATCCAGGGATCCTCAGCCATTTCCGTGTCAGGATCAGCTGCATCAGAGCTATAGTTATCCTGTATCTGCACATTCTATCTCATGGCCTCAGTGCTTTGAAGCACACTGGATCCAAAAAGGAGGGGAAAAATTAGCTAGGCATGGGGTTGTGCACCTATAATCCCAGCTACTTGGGAGGCTGAGGCTTGAACCCTGGAGGCGGAGGTTGTAGTGAACTGAGATCGTGCCATTGGATTCCAGCCTGGGCAACAGAGTGAGACTCCATCTTGAAGAAAATATAAACAAAAAACTAAACAAAACCAAAAAGGGAGGGAAGAAGGGGGCCACTTGGACTTTCTAGTTCCAGCAGGGAGAGCCTGGAGGCTTAGCCAGTTGCTGCCTTTGCTTCTCACTGCCACAGGGTGTCAGTGTTGATAGGTGGTTCCACACGGTACCATTAAACCAAGCAGATCTGCAGATCCCGGTTCCCAGCTGCTGTGGATCTCTGAGGGAGGATGATCTGCATCTTTGGGACCTGGTCCAACTGTGGGTATCCTCTTGCTTGTTTCCAGGGTTCCAGTTCTTAGAGCTCAGTAGTTTGGATGAGCTGTCCCGCAAAGCTCTTCAGACTAGGTTGGGCTCTTTCCCTTGTAGACTTGGAAACTCTGTTCCCTTTCCTTCCCCAAGGATCTAACAACCAAGGGATCAGGCAACGCCTCCTCACTGATTCTTAAAGCAGGAAGGATCTCATCTCTCTCTTCCAGTATAATAGAGCTTCTAAGGGTAGCTGCCTTCAAAGGAGGCCCCACCCTCAAATGGTTTTGATCATATTCTTTCTGAACATTAGAGCAACCAGCTCACGCTTAAATTGCAACTGCTTTGATTATCTCCAGAGGAACAGTGGCCTTTAATACTCCAAAAGTTTATCCTCTTTATTATTTTTTTTGAGTCAGAATCTTGCTCTGCCACCCAGCTGGAGTGCAGTGGCATGATCTCAGCTCACTGCAACTCTACCTCCCAGGCTCAAGCGATTCTCATGCCTCAGAAGTTGGGAACACAGATGTGTACCACCACACCTGGCTAATTTTTATATTTTTAGTAGAAACAGGGTGCTACCATGTTGGCCAAGCTGGTCTCGAACTCCTGACCTCCTCCTGCCTTGGCCTCCCAAAGTACCAGGATTACAGGCATGAGCCACCGTGCCTGACTATTTATCCTCTTGAGGATGATCAAGGTGACATTCTGGTGTCTTTCTAGACCCGAGAAAGCATAAATTACATCTTCAGTGGGGCTTCTTACCATAGGGTTAAAAATAGTATTTGCCTTAGCGGATTAGAGAGAAATGACACAGTACTTGTTATACACTAGCATGGTGCTGGAGACATGTGTTCACATTTGTTGGTTTTTATTATTATACTGATAATTCTGTCACTAATTACGCCTGTCATTATAATCACAGTAAACTCAAAGCAAGAATCAGAAATCCATGGCAGCCCTGAGGGTCATCAAAAGTCATGTACACTGTGCACAGCTTTCTGATTTTTCTAGTCTCTTTCTTCCTCCTTCCCTACTTTCCCCTCAGTTTGGTCCCCTAAGATTTAGGACTGCTAGTAGGGTGACCAGTCCTACTAGCTGAGTTTGTACTGAGCTGAGCGATTCTTGGAACGAACGTGGGACTTACAGTGTGAAAATTGAGAAAGTCTCCTGCAAACCAGGACAAGTTGGTAGCCCTAATCCCAGCGGTGCTCATTGTGTGCCTGAGCATACCAGGGCCTTCTGAATTAAAGAAGCGGCCAGGCCAAGTGTCAGCTTGTCTTGGCCTAGAAGCCCAGACCCTGTAATTCAGAAGAAAAGGGAAGGGGTCAGTTCTGCTCTCAACTGTGTATAAAGGGACAAAACCCATCATGTGTATTTCAACAATGCTCATGGAAGAAATTCAGGAGCAGTCATTTTAGGTGAGGGTAAATTCAGAACATGACAGAGTCAGAAAAACATTATCCAAGGGGTCAAGTATGACTCGAGCTCTGCCTACTGAACTCTTCCTTGTGTGAGTCTCGATAATCTTATCTTCAGGAAGATTTTTCATTAGAAAATACCGTTAAGGGCCAGGTGTTGTGACTCATGCTTATAATCCCAGCACTTTGGGAGGCCAAGGCAGGCGGATCAGCTGAGGCCAGGAGTTTGAATCCAGCCTGGCCAACGTGGTGAAACCCTGTCTCTACTAAAAATACAAAAATTAGCCCTGTGTGGTGGTGCATACTTATAATTCCAGCTACTCAGGAGGCTGAGGCACAAGAATCACTTGAACCTGGGAGGCAGAAGTTGCAGTGAGCCAAGATTGCACCACTGCCCTCTAGCCTGTATCTCAAAAAACAAAAAACAACAAAAAAAAGAAAAACCGGAACAAACTGTTAAAATTTTTTAGTTGTGAGAAGATATAAAAATTCCCATCTTAATCATTTGATGTGTACAGTTCAGTCATGTCAAGTACGGTTCACATTGTCAGCCAACCATCATCACCATCCATCTCCAGAAAGCTTTTCATCTTGCACAGCTGAAACTCTGTGCTCATTAAACAGCTCCCTATTCCCTTCCTCCCTTGCAGCCGCTGGCAGCCACCATCCTCCTTTTTGTCTCTTTGAATTTGACTGCTCCGAGCACCTCATAGGAGTGGAATCAGACAGTATTTATCTTTTTTGATTGGTTCATGAGAAACACTTTTTTTAGATGACTGGTTGGAATTAGGTGCCACAGCTGGCCTGGGCCTCTCATCTCCTTTTTCCCTGTTCCACCAATACAACAATTGTGGACATGTGGATCTCTAACACAGCGGTTCTCAACCTTGTTTACACATTAGAATCACCTGGGAAACTTTCAAAGTACGCTTGCCTGGACCACATTCCAGGATAATTATATCAGAATCTCAGGGAGTGAGGGCTTACGTATGCAGTGCTTAGAAAACACTCTAGACATCTCAAATTTGCACCGGAAATTGCTGTCCATGCCAAATTGACGAGCTGAAAGGTGGAATAACATTTGGCAAATGAAATAATTTAAAGTAGATGGTCTTTAAGGCCTTTTTACACTCTAAAATGTGCAAAGTCAGGTAGTATCTTTCTAATTCTCAATCAGGGGTGGTTGAGTGGATTCTGCTATACCAGAGGGGAGCTGGGTGGACACTCTCTGGACCGTGGCTGCCCCTGCAGTTGTTATGTTACAACAACCCCACTTTAGAACCCTCTTAGCCACTCACGTAAGCGCTGGCCATTGTCATTCCCTGGCCACATGCATTCAACAAATACTTATTAAGATAACACATTTCCTTTGAAAACACGCAAGCCAAGAGATAATTATATTTGTGCTCATTCCATTGACTTCTAAAGACATGAGATTTCGAAATAATTTTAAGGCCAAATGAAGGACATTGCAGAAATACTGATTCCAGCTTCAGGCAAGAAATATTTTTCCGCAATGAGAGTGGTTTAATAGAATGAGTAGCCTTGTGAAAGAGTGCTTCCCTTGGTTCTAGTGCTACACAGTCGTAATTGGAATACTGACTGTAAGGATAAGTTTCCCAAAGTAAAATAAACTAGGATGACTTATGAGGTCCTTCTAACTCCAAAATGCCATAATTTAAAAGCCAGATAGTAGAAGAATGAGGTAAAAGATGTGGGAATGGCTTATGTGCTAAGAAATGCAGCAACTCCAGAGTTTTGATTATTTCAACTTTCAACAATTTCCTAAGGACTGAGTTATTAACTGTAAAATAGCCAAAAATGAACACAAATGGGTGTCATTATCAAGAAAAATCATTGTAGCACATAAAAATCAGAACTTTTAGAGAAGATTAATTAGGGGGTTGATTATTTGCATTGCAAAATAATTATTGCCTTCATAAAATCATTTTTGGATAGTAAAGTTCCTGTGACCATCTTAGTATCAATTTATAGGTCCTCAGTCACTTAGCCAAAGTGCTTGGGAGAGTAAAAACTTTTAAGAACTAACCACTGCTCTTTAGTGCATATTTGGAAATAATAAACATCTGAGTTGTCATTAGGAAAACAATATAATTTCACAACAGGTATTTAGACACTCCATCAGAAAATGCAAACCATCCAAAAATTCAATGCAAAAATAACCATAATTTCTTGAGTGCTATAACATGTAAAAAATATCATTGCATTTAATCCTCACATAATCCTTGTAAAGCAATATATTATCTCAGCTTGGTTAACTAATTTATTTAGGAGTGCCAAATTACATACAGCCCAATTTTTTCTGATTCTTTCCCTTATACAAAATTACCCCAATCAACATATCTTAGAACAAAATTGCTCAAAGACCGTTTGGAGACTATATGTGTTTGGGTTAATTTTTGCCCTTAAAATATCTTCAATATGTGTTGCCAATGTTTAAACATTAGATTTCTTGTAAAACTCTGGATGTCCTGGCTGTCTCAAATAATCAGAAAGTCTGGAAGCCCTGTCCCTGATGTCCTGACGGTGACAGGCTGGGTGGGTCCTACCTGGGCAGGGTCTTGAGTTCTGCAGGTGGTGCTGGTTTCCACCCCTCTGTGTTGCATACCCTTACAGGAAGCGAGTATCAGCTAGGATTTATCCCTTCCTATTCAGCTCCCATTGCCTACGTTGTTATCTATCTAGCACCTGTTGGCATTGCATTTACAACCCCAAAGAAAATCTCTCTTCCACTTCCCTTGCCCTATTTCAGACCCCAAATGCTCTGGTTCTGTACATCTCAAACTCATTTTGCACTGTTCTTATTTCCGAAGAGTAGTTGGGCTTAAGGAATATTCATCTTAAAATTCTTCTGCAAACAAGTAATTCTATGACATTATTTTCTCACTTGTTGAGAAATTTTTTCCTCTGCACTTAAAAGCCTGTCTTTTTTTCATTTCTTCCCACTCCTGGGGGGTAGGTTTGGTGTTGCTGGTGATGGCTGGGGAGGAAGAAATGCCTTCAGGTCATCTCTGGGATGACCAGTGAGCTATTACCAGCAAGCTGGGAGCACTGACCTGGTAGAGTGTTCTCAGTGAGTAATAGATAGCAGTGCTGTGCCAGCTTTCTTCTGGCCGAGGAGGAGTCAAATCCTTTAAGTTTCAGGGACCTGGTTCCCAATAGACCCCACAGGCCGTGTAGGTTGTCTTCCCAACCTGCCCCTTTCTCCATACCCCCACCCTCCACCCCATAATATTAGAGAAGGACACCTAGTCAGACAAAATGATACAGCTTAATTTTATTAAGACAAGGCTGGTGGGCACTGGAGTGGCACATTCCAGGGCCAAGAGAGGCACTGGGGAGGGGTCACAGGGATGCAACCCAGCAGCTAGAAGCCACAGCTGCCCTCCACAGAGCGGCACTGCACAATGCGCAGGAATGTCTCGACCTTGTCCATGTCCTTCCTGAAGTAATAGAGCAGCCCATAGTTCCTGAGCAGTGTGTCATTATTGTGCAAGTTTGTGTCAAACATGCTGAAATTTTGCTTGATGATCTCCCCAGTCCGGGGCCTGACCTCTTCCAGCCTCTGCAAAGTGAAGGAAGAGAAAGACAGACCAAGTGCTTGGACACTGTTCCCTCCCTCTCTCTTCTTTCTCCCTCCCCTCCAGGGTGTAGAGAAAGGTGTGGAGAATTCACTAGTGGAAATGAAGAATAAGCTGATTTCTCTTGAGTCAGGGCCTTACTGCTAAAAAGAGAGCAGCAGTGTTTCTTTTCCCCAGCTCTGGAAGCCAGTGTGGCCCCAGATTGGCTAGCATAAACCTCACCCCTATCAGAGTTTGAGTGCCTTCTTCTAGGCCCTTCAGGGACTCATAGACCTTAGTGTTCAAGATCCTATGCAGTTCACTGTTGGCAAAGACACTCCTGAGGAGCTGCATGGGTTCGAGCCAGGACTGGATGAGCAGCAGGGAGATGTGGAGCAGCTCTGGGTTCTGCAGGGGAAGGACTAGCAGTGGGTGTGCTGCCTGGGGGCTCTGACCACCGGCTTCCCCCATCCCTGCCTGGGGAGAGGGCAGCCACTCACAGATTTTCCAGCAATTCCTCCTTGTTGGAGGGTGTCGGCATAGACTCTGAGAAGCAGAGGGAGGTCTTGGGGTTCTGCAGGAAGAAATACTTCAGTTCATTCGGGATACAATCTTCTCCCTAGGAGAAGGACCACCCATCAAGCTCTATGCTGGTGACTAGCTCCCATTCTTACTTTTCTGGGACCTCACTCAGCATATGATCATCTGCCTGCATCTTCGCCTCAGAAAACAACCCTGAGCTCATTCGTCTCCTCCCATTACTTCCCAGAAGGGGAAAATCACCCCTTCCTATCACCCCTGATGGGCATCTATTCCCCAAGAACTTACAAACTCCTGGTAGGTGTCAAAGGCCAGCTGATGCAGCTGATGGGCGCAGAGCACAGCGTCTTCCAAAAGCCTGGATAAGGGAATGCTTGGAAGGGCACCAGTCTCTTGAAGCCAGGGCAGGCAGAGCAGGGCGAAAGCCAGGAGCAGGGACATCTGGGAGCCTGGGGAGAAAAAGGTGGGGAAGGGAGGGAGCTGGAGAGCAAGAGGCCAGTGCTCTTCTCAGGGCCTGTTTTTTTTTTTTTTTTGCCTCTCCCTCCAGGGACTAGGAACATTCTGAGATTGGCCGAATATCTGGGCCTTGATGGCAACACTCACATTCAGAAACACCAAACCTGAGGTTTATTGCCCCCGTACCATCTACAGGGCATATCATGCCCTGTAGTACACATCATGCCAATGTAGTACCCTAAGGGATTTTAGGGGTGATTACCTGCAGTCAGTGCAGCTAGGTGAGCTGTCCACAGGACTCTCCGTGGTTTGGGGAGTTGGGCCTTGGGATCCTGGAGCTGGTCTCTTGTGGGCCCTTTTATACCCTCGCCCCTTCTCTCTCCCTACTTGTCCCTGTTTCTTTGTACATTTATGCATGGGACCACAGACATGCCTGTGCTAATGGACAATTTAGAAACTTCTCCCACACACCCTGATATCATATTCCCTGGCTTGTCATCTTTCCCTTCGCACCGCCACCAGTGCTGTGAGGGTTGTGCACGGAGTGTCAGCCAGAGGCACCACCCAACCTGGCCTCTCTTTAAGGGGCAGGTGGGTACCCTCTGGCAGCATGCCATGGTGGCCAACCTGAAGGCGGGAAAGGATGTCAGGATAGCCAGTCCTTGAGACCCACACGGACCCCATCCCACTCTCTATCCTATCCCTTTCCTCCTCCCTGCATGGTTCCCCACCAGTGAGAGTGTGTACTGAGAAAAGGAGCCAACTATAGGCAATATATTCTGAGGGTTCTGGACATGATTCAGTCCTGAATTCCACTTTTTCTGACTCATCCTGGGTCCACCTGAGGCAGCTGGATGCTGTGCTAACAGTGACTACTAGAGGGAACCAACCCCATACTTTGCCCTCCCCTCTCCCTGAGCCTTAGAGCTCCCGAAGGTCTATGGGGACCAAGAACCCAGACTCAGGTACTGCCCCAGCTCCTTGGACCTGCAGCAGAGATACAAACCAAGAAGCAGAAATTCCGGGAAGAGACACGGACCACAAGGGCTTCCTCCCATAGCCTTGAAACTATCAGAGAATCTCAAAGTTGGAAGAGTTCTTGAAGGTTTGAGTCTCCTCCCCAGCTTTGGGACTCAGAACACATCATGCCGAAATATGCCCTATGCAGCCATGGAAGCCCCTCCTCCTTATTCTCCTCCTCCTTTCCAGATCTGTGTAGAGCTTACCCAGTTGCAAAAGGCCTGCCTGTTTATTCTCACATCTAATCTGCCACTTGTCTTCTGAAGGAGCTATTATGATCATCTCATTTCACAGATCAAGAGACTGAGGCTCAGAGAGACTGACTTGCATGAGCTACCTCAGCCAGGGCAGCAGAACTCCACAACCTTGCTCTTCCCACACTTTCTCTAGGCTGGGCACGATGGCTCATGCCTGTAATTCCAGCACTTTGGGAGGCTGAGGTGGGTGGATCACTTGAGGTCATGAGATCAAGACTAGAGTGATCAACATGGGAAAACTCCATCTCTATTGAAAGTACAAAAATTAGCTGGGCATGGTAGCTTGCTCCTGTAAACACAGGTACTCAGGAGGCTGAGGCAGGAGAATCCCTTGAACTCAACAGGCAGAGGTTGAAGTGAGCCAATATTGCGCCACTGTACTCCAACATGGGCGAGAGAGCAGAACACCCTTAAAAAAAAACAAAAAACAAAAAAGAGTCCCTTCTCGAGAGGTAGTGTGGTGCTACTCAGTTAATTATTTTAGCTTCTTCTTCTTTTTTTTGTTGGGGGGAGATGGATTCTCTGTCACCCTGACTGGAGTGCAGTGGCATGATCTTGGCTCACTGCAACCTCTGCCTCCTAGCTTCAAGTGATTCTCCTGCCTCAGCCTCCTGAGTAGCTGGGATTATACACACCCACCATTATGGCAGGCTAATTTTTGTACTTTTTTAGTAGGGACAGGGTTTCACCATGTTGACCCAGCTGATCTCAAACTCCTGACTTCTGGTCATCTGCCTGCCTTGGCCTCCCAAAGTACTGAGATTACAGGTGTGAGTCACCACTCCCAACCCAGTTACTTCAGCTTCTAAATTTCTCTGAGTTCAGGGATACTACCCCCAACGCAAGCGGTCCTTTGCCTCATTTTGTCCTTCCGTAAGGGGCAGATTGTTCTCCCTCAATTCCCAGGTGAGAATGGCTCAGTGACATGGGTGCCCTGTGGAAACCTCACAGCAGGGCAAGGCGAAGGCAGAGAAGGCCAGGACTGAGCCTCCTGTTTCCTGGTGCCCAGGGTTGGGGCTGTTGCAATATCATCTGGAGGTCACAAGCAACAGATGCCCCCAAAGATGACAGCAGGAAAGAATACACTCTCCTGATTTGAAATCTTCTACCCCTGAGTTTAAGGACATTGAGCACGCGACGCTGTAGAAACACAAGCAAGCAAACAAGCAAACGCTTCTAGAAGTGGTTGGCAGTGGTGTTGCCAACCAACATTGAAAACCCACACCCCTGTGGTCTAGGATGTGAATGCTGGGCTCTTCCACCTCCTCCTTTTCGGAGCAGAAGACAGAGGTCATCTGCCACCACTCCTGAAGCATAACCCAACCAGCACCCCAGACTCATCATCTGCTGGGAGGGTACTGGGCTGTGGGCTATTCTCCAGGAGGGCTATGGGAGGATTCCAGAGAAATGTCATCAATGATACCAGCTCTGAGAAACATGGGGTCACTGGGAGGGTGGAGACACCACTTACCCCTGCTCCTTCCAGCACCACCAAAGAGGAGGAGCCAGGTGGGAATGGAGGAGGGCCCCTGAGCTCCACGTAGCTTTCTGCATCCCCCACCATCCTTCCTCCAATGTCAACTGGGACATGGGGCTCCCATGACAGGGCCTTTTAGCCAGTGCTGGGGACTTAGATTTGGACTGTGAGTTCTGCAGGTGGTGCTGGTTCCCACCTCTCTCCATTGCGTCTTCCTAAGGGAAGCGAGTATCAGCTGGGATTTATCCCTTCCCATCCAGTCCTCATTGCTTACATTGTTATCTATCTGGCACCTGTTGGCTGCATTTGCAACCCCAGTGAAAGTCTCTTCCACTTCCCTGCCCTAATTCAGACCCCAAATTCTCTGGTTCTGTATGTATCAAACTGATTTTTGCATTGTTCTCATTTCCCAAGGGTAGTTGGGCTTAAGAAATAGTCACCATAAAATTCTTCTGCACACACGTAGTTCTGTGACATTGTTTTCTCACCTGTTGGGAAATTTTTGCCTCTGCACTTAAAAGCCTGCTTGTTTTCATTTATTCCCACTCCTTGGGGGCTAGGTTTGGTGTTGTTGGTGATGGTTGGGGAAGAAGAAATGCTTTCAAGTCATCTCTGCGATGACCAGGGAGCTATTACCAGCAACTGGGAGCACTGACCTGGTGGAGTGGTCTCAGTGAGTAATGGACAGCAGTCATGTACCAGCTTCCTTCTGGCCCAGGAAGAGTCAAGTCCGTTATGTTTCAGGGGCCTGGCTCCCAATAGACCCCACAGGCCATGCAGGTTGTCTTCCCAACCTGCCCCTTTCTCCATACCCCCACCCCACCGCATAATGTTAGAGAAGGACACCTAATCAGACAAAATGATGCAACTTAGTTTTATTAGGACAGGGCTGACGGGCACTGGAATGCCCCCTTCCGGCCCCAGGAGAGGCACTGAGGAGGGGTCTCAGGGATGCCACCCGGCAGCTAGAAGCCACAGCTGCCCTCCACAGAGCAGCACTGCACAATGTGCTGGAATGTCTCGACCTTGTTCATGTCCTTCCAGAAGCAGAAGAGCAGCCCGTAGTTCTTGAGCAGTGTGTCATCGTTGTGCAAGTTGACATCAACATTGTAGGTCTGCCTGAAGATCTCCCCAGTCTGGGGGCTGCCATCTTCCAGCCTCTGCAAAGTGAAGGAAGAGAAGGAGAGGCCAAGCGCTTGGACACTCTTCCCTCCCTCTCTCACTCATTCTTTCTCCTCCCTCCCCTCCAAGGCTCCAAGGTGTAGAGAAAGGGCTGGAGGACTCACGAGTGGAAATGAAGAATAAGCTGAGTTCTCCTGGGTCAGGGCCTGACTGCTAAAAAGAGAGGAGCAGTGTTTCTTTCCCCCAGCTCTGGAAGCCAGTGGGGACCCAGGACTGGGGACCCCTGGTGCCACCCTTACCTCATCAGAGTTTGGATACCTTCCTCTAGGTCCTTCAGGTACTCATAGATGTCAGTATTCAAGATGCTATGCAGTTGGCTGTTGGCAAAACACTCCTGAGGAACTGCACGGGTTTGCGCCACAACTGGATGAGCAGCAAGGAGATGCAGAGCAGCTCTAGGTTCTGCAGGGGAAGGACCAGCAGTGGGTGGGCTGCCGGGGGCTCTGACCACAGGCCTTCCCCATCCCTGCCTGGGGAGAGGGTGGCCACTCATGGATTTCTGCTGAGTTTCCCTTTTGTTAGCTGCTGTTGGGACAGACTCTGCGAAGGAGAAGTACGACTGGGGATTCTGCAGGAAGGAGTATTTCTGTTCCTTTGGGATATAGGCTTCTTCCAAAAGAAGGACCGCCCACCAGGTTCTATGCTGGTGACCAGCTCCCACTCTTACTTTTCTGGGACCTCACTCAGTTTATGCTCATCAACCTGCATCTTCACTTCTGAAACAACCCTGAGTTCCTTCATCTCCTCCAATTACTTCCCAGCAGGGAAAGTCACCCCTTCCTGCCACCCCTGTTGGGCACCTATTCCCCAAGAGCTTACAAATCCTGGTAGGTGTCAAAGGCCAGCTGGTGAAGGCAATGAGCACAAGCATAGTGTCATCACAAAGCCTGGATAAGGGAATTGTTGGGAAGTCACCTTGAAGCTGGGGCAGGCAGAGCAGGGCAAAAGCCAGGAGCAGGGACGCCCAGGAGCCTGGGGAGAAACCAGAGAGCAAGGAAGGGAGCTGGAGATCAAGAGGCCAGTGATCTTCCTCAGGGGCTGTTTATTTTTGTAATCTCTCTTGGACCAGGAACATTCCGAGATTGGACAAATAGCTGGGTTTAGATGGCCATACCCACATTCAGAAGCCCCAAACCTGAGGGTTAGTGCCCCCATCCCATCTACAGGGCGCCTCCTCTTCCCTGGGGACATATTGTGCCCTAAGGGATTTTAGGGGCGCTTACCTGCAGCCATTGCAGCTAGGTGATCTGTCCACAGGACCCTTAGTGGTTTGGGGATGTGGGCCTTGGGACCCTGGAGCTGGTTTCTTGTCAGCCCTTGTTATACCCTCGCCCCTTCTCTCTGCCGGCTGGCCCCCACCTGTTTCTATGCACGTTCATGCAAGGGGACCACTGACGTGCCTGAGCTAATAGATAATTTGGAAGCTTCTCTTACACATGCTGGTATCATGCCCCACCGCGTGTCATCTTTCCCTTCCCACTGCCACCAGCGCTGTGAGGGTTGTGCACAAAGTGTCAGCCAGAGGCACCACCCATCCTGGCCTCTCTTTAAGGGGCAGGTGAGTGCCCTCTGGCAGCATGTCATGGTGGTCAACCTGAAGGTGGGAAAGGATGTCAGGATAGCCAGTCCTTGAGACCCACACGGACCCCAACCCACTCTCTATCCTATCCCTTTCTGCCTCCCCGCATGGTTCCCCTCCACCCACCAGAGAGAGTGTGTGCTGGGAAAAGGGGCCAACCACAGCCAACAGATTCTGGGGGTTCTGGGCAAGATTCAGTCCTGAATTCCACTTTGGCTGAGTCCTCCTGGGTCTGCCTGAGGTAGTTGGATGCAGTGCTAACACCGACCACTAGAGGGAACCAACCCCACACTTTGCCCTCCACTTTCCCTGTGCCTTGGGGCTCCCCCAACGCCCAACCAACTGGCTGAAGAACCTCCACACTCAAGATATTGCCTCAGCTCCTTGGATCTGCAGCAGAGATATAAACCAAGAAACAGAAGGCCCGGGAACAGACATGGACCACAGGCGCTCCCTCCCGTAGCCCTGAATCCATCAGAGAATCTCAAAGTTGGAAGAGCTCCTGAAGGTTTGAGTCTCCTCCCCAGCTTTGGAACTCAGAACACATCACGCCGAAGGATGCCTTATGCAGCCATGGAAGCCCATCCTCCTTTTTCTCCTCCTCCTTTCCAGATCTGTGTAGAGCTTACCCAGTTGCAAAGGGCCTGCCTGTGCATTCTCACATCTGAGCTGCCACTTGTCTTGTGAAGGAGCTATTATGATCATCCCATTTCACAGATCAAGAGTCTGAGGCTCAGAGAGACTGACTTGCATGAGCTACCTCAGCCAGGGCAGCAGAACCCCACAAGCTTGGTCTTCCCACATTGCATCATTCAAAGTCCCTTCTCTAGGCTGGGTACAGTGGCTCACGCATGTAATGCCAGCATTTTGGGAGGCTGAGATGGGTGGATCACTTGAGGTCAGGAGTTCAAGACCAGACTTGTCAACATGGCAAAACTCCGTCTCTATTAAAAATACCAAAATTAGCTGAGCATGGTGGTGGACGCTTGTAATCCCAGCTACTAGGGAAGGTGAGGTGGGAGAATCCCTTGAACCCAGGAGGCAGAGGTTGCAGAAAGCCAAGATCACACCTCTGCACTCCAGCCTTGGTGACATAGCAGAACTCCCACTCAAAAAAAAAAAAAATAGTCCTTTCTCCAGAGCAGGTAATGTGGTGCTACTCAGTTATATAGTTATTCTAGCTGCTGCTGCTGCTTCTTCTCCTTCTTCTTCTTCTTCTTCTTCTTCTTCTTCTTCTTCTTCTTCTTCTTCTTCTTCTTCTTCTTCTCCTTCTCCTTCTCCTTCTCCTTCTCCTTCTCCTTCTCCTCCTTCTCCTTCTCCTTCTCCTTCTTCTTCTTCTTTCTTCTTTCTTCTTCTTCTTTCAGATGGAGTCTCATTCTGTCTCCCATCTTGGCTCACTGCAACTTCTGCCTCCTGGGTTCAAGTGATTCTCCCGCTTCAGCCTCCTGAGTAGCTGGGATTACAGGCACCCACCACTATGCCGGGCTAATTTTTGTAGTTTTTTAGTAGAGATGGGCCTTCACCATGTTGGCCAGGCTGGTCTGAAACTCCTCTTGACTTCAGGTGATCTGCCTGCCTTGTCCTCCCAAATTACTGAGATTACAGGCATGAGTCACTGCTCCCAACCCAGTTATTTCAGCTTCTAAATTTCTCTGAGTTCAGGGATCCTGCCCCAACACAAGCAGTCCTTTGCTTCATTCTGTCCTTCTACAAGGGGCAGATGTTCTCCTTCAATTCCCAGGTGAGGATGACCCAGTGGCACAGGGTGCCTTGTGGAAACCTCACAGCAGGACAAGGCAAAGGCAGAGAAGGCCAGGACTGAGCCTCCTGTCTCCTGGAGCCCAGGGCTGGGGCTATTTCAATATCATCTGAAAGTCACAAGCATCAGATGCCCCCAGAGATGAGAGTGGGAAAGAATACACTCTCCTGCCCTGAAATCTTCCACCCCTGAGTTTAAGGGCATTGAGCACGCGACGCTGTAGAAACACAAGCAAGCAAACAAGCAAACGCTTCTAGAAGTGGTTGGCAGTGGTGTTGCCAACCAACATTGAAAACCCACACCCCTGTGGTCTAGGATGTGAATGCTGGGCTCTTCCACCTCCTCCTTTTCATCTCTGGGATGACCAGTGATCTGTGACCAGCAAGCTGGGAGCACTGATCTAGTGGAGTGGCCTCAGTGGGTAATAGACAGCAGTGCTGTGCCAAGTCCATTATGTTTCAGGAGCCTGGTTCCCAATAAACACCTCTGGCTTTGTGGGTTGTCTTCCTAACCTGCCCCTTTCTCCATACACCCACCCTCCACCCTGTAATATTAGAGAAGGACACCTAGTCAGACAAAATGATGCAACTTAAT